TGTTTGGTATCCGATATCGATCCGTGGGGAGGACCGCCTCGTCGGCGTGTTCCAGCAGCTGAGGATAAGCAAAGTTCAAACATTGAACCTGACATTATTCCAGAGGTATTTGATTTCTCAATTAATTCATGATTGACGATGTTTATTTTCTTTTATGTTGTTTTTTCATCTTTGTATTCTTAGGGGTTTTCAGAGTGTAAAGTCTATCTATCATCACCGACTTATCGGGCGGTTGGTCGTGGCAAAGTGCACAACTGTCTTGGTGAAACAATACACACCAGACCGTTGCCAATTGACCATGTGAAAGTTAGTCTTGAGGTTGCTTTTGAGCCAAATGCGTTGTTGCCTGTGCCTATTGATGATGAAGCGTTGATAACAGTTCGAGATGCAATAGGAACTTTTGTGGCGTGGCTAAAGAATCTCGTTTCTGTAAATAAATCGGTATGTGCAAACAAATAAATCTACTTTTTTATTTTAAATATATAATATATGTATGTCATTTATTACACTTGGAAAAAAATATAGATCTCAGACAATCTCCAGAATAAGGGAACCAAAAACTCTATAGTTCCAAAAGGTAATGGGGAAGAAAACCGTTCAAAAGGATCTAATGAAGTTGATACTGCGAGGAACGGGTCATATTGTAGCTATCTTACTATGCATGTCCAATTGCTCATGAGACCTAGTGATTTATTACCAAGCATAATGATGGCCAAAGAGACATTTGGTGTATCATTTGAAGAGAAGCTTGGTGTAGATGAAATAAATCACGTTGTTATGCATCAATGGATTGGTGTCTCTGCTGTCTGTACATATATCAGGTACCATTTCGACTTTTATTGGTTAATTTTATAGGTGGGTGTATTCTTTTGGCAAGTAATAATCTTTTGTATTTTTAAGTAAGATACTTGTACGAGAAGTTCATGGTCCGTAAGCAATTATCGAAGAGGTTCTTCTTCTTATCCCCCCATGTAACAAGCTTTCTAGTTAAAAAGGACGAGCAAATAAAAGCAATTGTTGATTTGCTTGTTGATAATAATGCAAAGGATAAGTTGGTTCTTGCGCCATATAATACATCGTAAGACCCTTCTTCTATATATATATATATATATATATATA